TTTTGTCTTGATTTCTTTATTTTATCAAATCTGGCAGTTAGCATAGAAAGTTTTCGGATGTCTCTTCTCTATGTCTAATATCTCTGTGTCTAGTAGGATGCCTGATTTTTCAAAATGGGTGGTTTAGAAGCAATAATCTGTTAGCATCACTAAGAGTTTGGCCACTTCGATACTAGTCATATTTTGTTTTCTCTGTTTTTAAGAAATTGTAGTTGCTAAACAGTTTGTTTAGATATTTCGCAACCACCCGTTATCTTCTATTTATTTTTACTTGAGTTGGTGTCAATCAGCAACTATTAATACCGATAAACCATGGTTTGACAGCTGAGAATGTCAAATTATGTTGTCATTTCTGTTCGTTAAGTTTTAGCAATTCATCATGTATCGTTTAATGCTAGAGCAACGCTTTCACATTGAAGAAATTAACTGTGAAAAAAAAATCTGTTAGTAAAGTTTATAGAGTACTTTGTTGAAGAATTCTGTATAGTGATAAAACTCATTCCTCATTTGTAAGATTTAACACATCTTGATTATTTCTTATGGGGCTATGTTCTATGTATCTTATGTTCTATGTTAATTCATTGGTTTACACCGACAATCGATAAACCATCACCTCTTGAAGCATTGGAAAAATAGTAAAAAATTGGATTGATCGAATGGACCATGTAATTTGTAACCATGGCGGATATAAATAAATACAAAAAATAAATATAAATAAATAAATATAAGATATATTTTGACTATTGCCATATTGAGACTTACGGGAAGATTTGCAACTTTTAAATATTTTACTTTATTATACCTCGTTAGGTCATTCTTGTTGGAAAAAAATGGGGTGTAAAAATTCATACATATAACTACATAATTGTTTTCATTTGACCCAAAACACTTAATTAAAATATATTGATTCGAAATATATGTAGTAAAATTGTTTGAGTATTTAATATTAAATGAGAATACATTTATATTATTAGACAGTCAAGTTTTAAAGTTCATGGGATCAATCTATAATACATGTAAGATTATTTCGTAGTCCTCTTTTCTGATATTTCGATCAATGGTATAATGCTAGTGAAATGGAAACAGTTGTTAAAGTCTTTTTGTATTTAGAACATTAACACGTGGATGGAAGATTCAATGATAAGTTGGCCCATCTTAAGTTAAAAATTCTTAAGAAGATCATCTTAAGACAATCTTCTTAAGATGAGAATAATCTTGTAATAGGTTTACTGACAGAATACTGTCGATTAGAAATCCATTTCTGCAATACTAAATTTTCCTTTTAATGACTAGGTACGAGTATGACAAAGAGAGTTCTTTAAATCTGCTCAAATCTCATGTTCGAGTATATATACAACGAAGATATGTTAGGGATTTACTTTCTAAAAGGTCTTTGTCAGTTGTAGGGCATCTCTTTAGCGAGCATTAACAGAATTTTTTAATGTTGTCAGATGGTTTTAAGTTCTTGAGTTCTTGAGTTCTTTAAGTAGATTTTTAAGATCACCACTATAAGCTCATCTTATTGCTTGGGTGCATTATATGTGCTCTAATGTGCATTGCATTTGGTTTTCTTCCGATTATAATCTGAATATGAAAGTGATATAAATTAATTTCACAGTTAGTTTATTAATGTTGTTCACTATTTAAAAAAAAATATCGAAAAGCGGTATACTACAGCCCACATACATAAGGTAAATTATTTACGTCCATCGATTTCTGTTTTTAAAAACAGAAAATTACATTGGATTGTATATTATATGTATATGCGTAAGAAAGTTTTTAATAAATAATAAAAAATATTAAAATTACTATGCATTAACCTGATCATAGGTTTAAAGAAGTCTGCATTCTGTAATACAGAAGTCTATTTGCTAAATGTGAAAAAAATTTAGAATCAATAATAATTTAAACTCTATTAATAGAAGTTCTGAACCATGTATTCCAGTAGCTCTTTGATCAACTTCAAATTAAATTTTTAATCAGACTTGTTCAATTTTATTTCAATAAGATCATAGCTAGATAATAATTACATTCAATAACTATTTTGATTAGATTAGTTTAGGTTTAAGTAGCAGTCTTCTGCACCAAAGTTGCCTTGTTATGATACCATGGATGAACCACAGTTCGATAGAGCGGAAGGCGAATGGATCTTAAAGACAGAAGTTTGAAGTATCTATCGCACGAACAGCATCTCCTTGAGAACTGTTGATTACTACACAATCATTATGATAAATAGTTGTTAATATATAAAATCTCTTGGGTTATTTGAACATGAAGGACATTTAAGGATGCAAATGTTTTTCTAAAAAAAAAAAACTCTACACAATCAGTTTAATGTGGGCTTCATTCTATAGATATTATTTAAATTATCTTATAAAGAAGTATCCAACGAGGTAATATCTAGTAGTCACCTATTCTTTCAATTTGTTAAGGGATCTCTATTAACTTTCTATTGAATGAAATGAGGTTGCTTAACCGAGATGATATCTAGTATTTGTACAATTTTTACACAATTATTAACTCTACAATTTGTTAAGACTTCTGATCTTAATAAAGTATTGTCTGATGTTGCAATAATTGCTCTAGCCATGTAAAGTGATCGATACGCAGGTTCTGAGGGCCTGATTTCACTAACATAAGAACATTATATAATGCCAAGATAATTGCCTTGTACAAGTGAAGCTTGACAAGTCTTTGATTAGTTTTGGATTTATTAAAGTGAATTTTGTTATTCGTTTGTAACTTATGTCTTATAGTGATAGTAAAGTTATCACTTTTAATATACAAACATAAAAAATTCCTGTCTTAGTTTGTTTGGATCAAATATTGAGCCCCTAAACTTGGCTGTAACTATAACCATGGGAATTTTTTCGTAATATATTTTTGTTCTTTTGTATTAGATACGCAAGCGGTAATTTGATTACCAAAATAACGAAAACATTAAAAAAATGAAAATACAAGAAAGGAGTGCTAAGAAGTGTTGAAATAAAAAAAATTTTAAGTTATTAGTTTTTCACTAAAGCGAATCATTCCTTTTTATACCCTCACAATCCCTGAAATACACAAAAAAAAAATTGTCTCTACAAATTTTAGATAATTTTTAAATTTGTTCGTGCAGAAAATTGGTCCTTTGTGGGACATTAATTGAAAACATTAAAGAGAATTATCCTTATTTTCAAATATTCACTTTCTTATTATAAAAATAAATTAAACTAAATTAAATTGAAACAGAAAAAGAAGATAGCTACCATTAAATAATAAGTATTCTTTCAATTTTGAAGTTTATGATTTCTTCAAAATAAGACTTTTATATAATATATATATATAATAATAATATTATATAATAAATGTAACAGTAATAAGAGTAAGAGTAATAAGAATAACAATTTTTTACACTTTTTTAACTACGATCCATATAGTTATTGAGTATGAGTTTAGTTACTATTGTTAGGTGTTCCTTTTAAAACTACTGAAAATAATGTCTGATGACATTATTTTTTAACAATCAAGTTCATATTCATAAATTAGAGTACACATTCATGAACTAGCTTACGCTATGTTCAGACAGCCAAATTTCCTTAATTTCGTAAAAATGAAATTAAGTTAATTTCGAAAGTGTTCATACTGCTCCAAATTAAGCAAATCGAATGTTTTTTGTTTACAAATCGAATGCTAAAAATTACCTGCTCCAAAAATAATTTTAAAAGTTGGTTATTATAACTATAAAGGGTGGTTTCATTAGTTATAGTGGATTTCATTATTATTTTTCACTCTATATTAAATTAATAGCAGTTACAGGTTTTTCTCTATATTCAAATTTAGAAATTTGCATTACTTTCGAAATATTTTCCCGGTTCTATTAAAGTCTTTGATATTTATTTGAAAAAATGTCACTTTTTCCTTATCTTAACTTTATCTTTTGCTTAAAATGTATCTTACGCATAGTTGCATTTGAAATGTCCCTTAATTTTAGTCTTCGTTTCAACAAAATTAAGGCAATTTTCCTTATTTTCGTTCCAACTTAAAAACTGAATTTTGTATGGAAGAAACAGCTTAATTTCGCTGAAACGAAGACGAAATTAGGATTTTGCGAAATTAGGATGTGTCTGAACATAGTCTTAAAAAAACCTGAATTTCCAAGTGTTTGGAATAAGAGATGAGAAACTTTATTTATACAAGCATGCATACTACGTAGGAATTTTTTAGAAATAAAGTACGATATTACGTTACGTTATTGAAAACGTTTTAATATTATATCAATGGATATATTAGTCAGTATATAATATTAGTATGAAGATACCAGTCACGAGAAATTAAAAACAATAGATTTCGATAAAGGCCAGCGAGAGACTGATTCATTTTTAAACTACATAAATTTATAAATCACAAAATAATCAATTGAGATAAATTTTACAATAATAAAAAATTATGATAAACTTATAAAGCTCAATTAAAATTATTTTTATAATAATAACTACTGAGCTTATAAATCTCAACCCAACATCCAGACCTCCATGAAAGAACATTCATACTGAGAGAACTGCTAGCTAATGAATGGGGTGTCGTATAATGCACTACGACGTTTTTGCTCTTATATGATTATCTTTTCCTGGGATGACTGAAATTACGACTTAGAAAGGATATTTTTGACCCAATTTCTTTTGTGTGGTATATATATCTAAAGAATATTTGTTGAGAATAGTTGGTAGATCCACTTAGGTCCATTGGTCCATTGTGCTACCGAATGTGTAGGAAGAACTCAGGGTTTAAAACTACATAGATGCTTTGGCGAAGCCTAAAATGCTATATAGTGTAAGGTCTTGTAATTG